AAAAAATGCATTTTAGAGCACATCACCCCATTGCGTATTGGATTTGCACTTTTGCCAGGATACAGACCAAAACTCTTGACCTGGCATTCTTAGACTTATTCAAGTTTGACATGCTCTTTCCTACTCCAAGTCCTTTTTTACATGCTCTTCTCTAATCTTAGAGCTCTCAGCTCAACCCTGTGCTTCTTAAGGAAACCCCTTCTAAAGATTCCACTTGATCAACATTCTCAACTAATTTCTTAAACCACGAAGCCACGTCACTCACCACACCTCTCCTACCATTCATCTCAGTTGAAACTTTATATTTATTCGTAAATTTATTTAATAGCTGTCTCCTCATAAAACTACAAGTTCCATAAGATCAAATAATATGTCTATTGTTTTCCCCATCCCAATGCATCCCTAGTGGGTAATATGTATTGATCAGGCAGCAATATATATGACGGATGATGCCAGTAAAGGCAAAGATATGGCTGATAAGCTCAATGACACTGTTCTTTCCAAAGCANTATACCAAAATCAACTCAAAATAGATTAAAGACTTAATATAATAAGTGAACCTATACACTCTTAGAAGAAAACACAGGGGAAACACTCCAGGATATAGGGCTGGGCAAAGACTTTATGAATAAGACCTCAAAAGCACAGGCAACAAACGAAAAGACAAACAAATGGGATTATATCAAACTAAAAAGCTTCTGCACAGCAAAGGAAACAGTCAACAGAGTGAAAAGACAACCTACTGAATGGGAGAAAATATTTTCAGCCTGTGCATCTGATAAGCGATTAATATCCAGAATATACAAGGAACTCCAACAACTTAATAGTAAAAAAAAAAAAATACAAATAATTAAAAAACGGGCAAAGGAGCTGAATAGACATTTCACAAAAGAAGACATATAAATGGTCAACAGGTACATGAAAAAGTCATCTCACCCCAGTTAGATTGGCTACTATCAAAAGAACAGAACAACAAATGCTGGTGAGGATGCAGAGAAAAGGAAACTCTTACCCACTGTTGGTGAGACTGTAAACTAGTACAGCCATTATGGAAAACAGTATGGAGACTTCTCAAACAATTATAGATAGAATTACCATGTGATTCAGCAATCACACTACTGGGTACATACTCAAAGGAATGGAAATCATCATGTTGAAGAGATACCTGCACTCCCATGTTTATCATAGCTCTGTTCACAATAGCTAAGACATGGAACCAACCTAAATGTCCATCAATGGATGACTGGATAGTGAAAATGTGGTATATACACACCATGGAATACTACTAAGCCATAAGAGAGAATGAGATTCTGCCATTCACAACAGCATGGATGAACTTGGAGAAACTATGTTAAGTGAAATAATAAGCCAGGCACTGAAAGAGAAATACTGCATGTACTCACTCATAAGTGCGAGCTAAAATATAAATAAATAAAAGAAAGAGGAAGGAAGGA